ACTCCTACAAATCTGCTTCCTCATTTGGAAAATGTGTGATGTGAAACCAAGCATTTTACTATAAGCAATGGGATAAATTCAAATAAAAATAGTACAACGGTGCCTAGCCTGCAGTATTAGTATCTGACATGCAGAAAGTCTTCAAAAACAATTACTTTGGAGATGGAGGCAGGAGGATCAGGAGTTCAAGTTCAGCCTCAGCTCCATATGGAGTTCCAAGCCAGCCTGGGCCACACTAAACCGACCATCTCAAACAACAGTTGGTAATTATATAAACAACTAGGGATGCACTTTAAAAATGTTTAACAACTGTTCTCCCAGGTCAAGCATGGAACAATTTGAACATTAAACTGAATAATGATACTGGGCCTGGTGGTGCATGCCTGTAATCCCTCCACTGGAAAGATTGAGGAGTTTCTGGTCAGCCTAGATTAACAGAGTTCAAGGCCAATATGTGTTACACAATGAGACTCTGTCTCAAAAAACCAAAAAGAAAAGATCATGTTGGTATATAAAATTGAAACAAAAGAAATAACAGCTGTGAGTCTACAGTGATATCCTGAAAAATTCTAATAAATGTGGAAGAAATGATAAAATCAGAGATTCATGATTATTTATTTATTATTATTATTTATTATTTGAGACAAGGTCTCATTATGTTTCTGAGGCTTGCCTGGAACTCACTATGTAGCCCAGCGTGGTCTCAGATTTACTGTGATCCTCTTGTCTCAGCCTTCCTGCTGGCTGAGACTCATCATTTTATAAACATTGTTTGTCAAAAACAATTCATATAGAGATGGCTCAGCGGTTAAGAGCACTGACTGCTCTTGTAGAGGACCCAGCTTCGATTCCCAGCATCCACATGGCTAAGAGCACTGGCTGTTCTTGCAGAGGACTTGGCTTTGGTCCCCAGCCCTCACATGGTGGCTAACAACCATCTGTAACTCCAGTTCCAGGGGATCCAGTACCCTGCTCTGACCTCCATGGTGCACGACATGGGTGCACTGACATGCATGCAGGCAATACACTCATATACAGAAAATAAAAATAATAAATAAAATATTTTTAAAAATTCATACAAGGACTGTCAGTGAATGATAAAATCACTGACTTTAAGCGGATTGAAGAGCAGGGTACCCAGCTCAATTGCTTGCCTAGCATGCATGAAGGCCTGGGTTTGATCCCCAGCACTGCATCAAACAGGTGTGCTGGTGCATGCCTCTACTCCCAGCTCTTGAGAGATGGAAGCAGGAAGATCAGAAGTTCAAGGTAAACACTACATAATGAGTTTGAGGCTCGCTTGGAATATATGAGATCTTGTTTCAAAAACCAAAGTTGAAAAATAAAATATTCACATGGTCTCAACTTATCATCCTTTATTGCAGCCCTGCCTCCCCACTAAAAAAAAGTGCTGTCAAAGTATTACCCTTTACAACGTAGCAGACTGACTGACAATCCCTTAATCAAGAAATGAAAGTCAGTATCACTAATACTAGGACAGACTTACTAGAGAATGCCTATTCTTGCAAAAATGTTTAATATGAATATAAGCATAACCTAGATAAATTACAATTGAAGGGCATGCTACAAAGTTTAAAATGCGGGGACTGGAGAGATGGCTCAGCAGTTGGTAGTACTGGTGCCTCTTGCAGAGGACCTGGATTCAAATTCCAGCACCCAAATGGCAACTAATAACTGTCCATAACTCCAGTTCCAGGGGATCCAATGCCCTCTTCTGACCTCTGAAGGCATTGTATTACACGGGTGCACTTACCTACATGCAGGCAATACAGTCATACATATAAAATTAAAAATTTTAAAAATGAAAATGTTGCTGCCAAGTCAGACATAGTCCTGCATACCTATAATTCCAGCAGTCAGGTAGGAGAATCAGGAGTTCAAGGTCATTGTCAGCTACATAGTGAATTTGAGATCAGTTTGGGCTACATGAGACCTTATCTCAAAACAAAACCAGACAAAACATCAATGTCATGAAAAATAACCAGTCAATGGAACAAACTCTTAATTTCCAAGTGTTCTGTCTTAATCTCTGAACATTCTTTGGGAATGATGCTTCCAGAAAGATGGACTACTCTATGGGGTATTTGGGCAGGAACATGGTCTTTGAGATGACACCCCCTCCATTCCACTGTAAATACATGAAGACTATGTTTCTCTAAGTCAATTTCTCAGGGAGGGCGCCTATGATAGCTCTCTGGGAGAAATCCAACTCTCTGACCGGAATGCTGACTTTAAATTTATTTATTTAATTTGTATTTCAGGTGTATGAATGTTTTGCCTGCACCATGCATGCAATGCCTGCAGAGGTCAGAAGAGGGCATCAGATACCCTGGAACTGGAGCTATGGCTGTTGTTAGCTGCCATGTGGATGTTGGGAACTGAACCCAGGTCCTCCACAAGAGCAGCCAGTGTTCTTAACTACTGAGGCCACCTAGATTTTTAGCTCCCGGGCCCCCACTTCTAGATTTGTTTGAAGCAATCTTTTTATTTATGTATGCGTGTATTACCTGCAGGTAGGTAAGTGCACCCGAGTCGTGCAATGCCAGAGGAGGACAGAAGGGGCTGTCGGATCCTCTGGAACGGGAGTTACGGACAATCGTTAGCTGCCCTGTGGGTGCTGGGATTCGAACTCAGGTCTTCTGCAAGACCTGACAGTCAGTGTTCTTAACCGCTGAGCCATCTCTCCAGCCCTGAAGTAGTCTTATGCAGTCCAGCTAGTTTGGAACGCCCTAGTAGCCAAGAACTCCTGATTCTCGGCCCTCAGCCTCACAGGTGCTGAGATTACAGTCATCAGCTATCATACCTGGCTCTACCTAGTTGTAATCTTTAATACTCATAATATTTATAATTATGAAAATTATGAAGTTATTTATTGGGTGACTTCCTCCGTGGAATGGAAACCCTAGGAGCGAAGGTTTTTTTTTTTTTTTTTTTTTTTTTTTTTCCTGTTAACCATTTACTCAGGGTAAGCGGTGATTGGAAAGTAGTCTAATTTTCCTGATCATTACACAATGTGTACGCATACAGAGCTATCCTACTGTACTCCATAAATATGTGTTGTTATGTGTCAATTAAAAAATATACAGTCTTGGCGGGCTGTGCGCTCGCTCCGCAGAGCCCAGTGCCCGGCGCCCAAGCGGGCGCCGGCCGCCCTCACCGTCCCCAGTTTGCCGGAGCAACCGCGGCGCCACTATGCTGACAAGAGGATCGAGGTGGAGAAGCTGGTGGTGGAGATGGATGGTGATGAGATGACTCGAATCATCTGGCAGTTAAGGAGAAGAGCTCAAGCCGAAGATGTGGAAGAGCCCTAATGGAACCATCTGGAACATCCTTGGGGGAACTGTGTTCCGAGAACCAATCATCTGAAGAAAACATCCCGCGCCTTGTCACTGGCTAGACCAAGCCCACCGCCATTGGCAGGCACGCCCATGGTGACCAGTACAAGGCCACAGACTTTGTTGTAGATCGAGCTGGCACGTTCAAGATGGTCTTCACCCCAAAGGACAGCAGCAGTGCCAAGGAGTGGGAGATGTACAACTTTCCTGCAGGCAGCGTGGGCATTGGGGATGCACAACACCGATGAGTCCATCTCCGGCTTCGCGCACAGCTGCTTCCAGTGCTCTATTCAGAAGTGGCCGCTGTACTTGAGCACCAAGAACACCATTCTGAAGGTCTACGACGGGCGTTTCAAGGACTCTTCCAGATCTTTGACAACAGCCACTGCCGCTTCCTGAGGGCAGCACAGCCTCCCAAGCTCCCCTGCGCTGTCCCCACCCCACCTGGGGAGGTTGTTCTCCCAGTGTGTTTGGTTTAACTTTGAGGCTCTGGGAGGGACCCTTAAACCTGTCAGCCTCCTGTCCTGTACCCGAACTGGGCCCTTTTGCTCCCAGGCTCTACAAGACTGACTTTGACAAGAATAAGATCTGGTACGAGCACAAGGTCATTGACAACGTGGTGGCCCAAGTGATCAAGCCTTCAGGAGGCTTTGTGTGAGCCTGCAAGAACTACGATGGCTACGTACAGTCGGATATCCCGGCTCAGGGTACGCTGCAAGGCCCGGTCCCTGAGGGAGATTGTTGGTCTGTGACTGGAGCGATTTTTTTTTTTAATCAAATGAGATTTCTATATAAATTGTAAGCACAAAGGGTAAGTGAAAGAGAGACTCCTGTGGAGAAAGTGAGACACACACACATGGCATCAGTGTGGGCTTCTCAGAGAAGAGTCTTCTGGAGGGACTGTGTGTGTGTGTGTGCGCCAGCACGCCTGTGTGGGAACTGGAGATTGATGTCAAGTTTCTTCCTCTGCCGCTCCACCTTATTATTTTTAATATTTTCTTTTTTAAAAAATTACATTTATAGTCCAGTCAAAAAAACAAAAACAAAAAAACAAACAAAAAAAGTCTTTCAGCTCCGGGAGGCGGAGGCAGGAGGATCTGTGAATTTGAGGCCAGCTTGCTCTACATAGTGAGTTCCAGGCCAGCCAGGGCTACATAGTGGAGACCCTAAAAAACAAAATAGTCCCAGCACTTGGGAGGCAGAGGCAGGCGGATCTCTATGAGTTCAAGGCCAGCCTGGTCCTCATAGTGAGTTCCAGGACAGCTGGGGCTACAAGGAGACTCTGTCTCAAAAAGACCAAAAAAAAAAAAAAATAGTCTTTGCACTTGTGGGGCGGAACCTTCGCAACAAAGCAACTATTCTGGCTCTAAAGTCAGTACATCTTGCTGCCCCAGTACATTATTTGGAAATACAGGATGAACTGGAACGTAAACAGGAGAGGAAGGATACCGAACACCGGGAAGTGAACAAATGGAAACTATCCAGACACCCCCACCTACCCACCCGCCAACACCGCGCCCTTCTGATCTTTCCCTCCGGAAGCATTTGCTGCGCTCAAGCGCCAAGTGCGCATGCGCATACCGGCGGCTCGCTCCGGGCCGTAAGCCGAACCCGGTTGCAAGCGAAGGTTCCGCCTCCCGGCCTGGACGGCGGCTGCGCGGTCGGGGCTCCAGTCGGGACGCACCTTCTCGCTCCCTCCCTCCACGGGCTGCGTGCGCCCGGTGGGCGTGGGAGGAGGCGGGGAAGCAGGGAGGGGGCGGGTGTCACGGGAGGGCAGAGCGAACCGGAGAGCGTCGTCCTGAGGAGTGAAGGCGGCAAAATGGCGGACCGCTTCTCCCGCTTCAACGAGGACCGAGACTTTCAGGTAAACACGGGCGTCGCCGAGGAGCCCCGAGGGCCAGGAGCAAACAGGGGCTGCCTTGGTCTTCGACTGTCGGCCCGCTGTCGGCCGGAGCTGGGTTGCGGCGTGCAGGCCGACTCCCTCCTGCCTCTTGCCTCTCCTGGGGCCTCCCGACTTGCGTGAGGCCGCGGCTCCGGTTGCATCTCCATTCTCTTCTATGTCTTCAGCTCAGGGCTCCCCCTTTGGCTCCGGCTTTCCGAAGCCCAGCTGGGCACTTTGTGGGGGGCTGCGCTTCGGTGGGGTCGCGGCCTGTGCAGGCGCAAGGCTGGCTACCCGGGGAGAAGGGTTGGAGTGGGCAGGCTTGGGGTGAGGGGTGCCCAGGCCAGAGCTTCCGAACCCTTGCATTTAGCGATCTTCTCTGAGATCTCCTTGGGGGAATCTTCCCTCCTTGTCCCTCGTTGTGATGAACAACCCTTTTATTGTCTATCCTTCTTTCTCAGCCTGGAAAAGGGTACCCTTATCAGATGCCTTCTTGTTTGGTGGGACATTGGTGGAGCTTTCCCTGGACATTAATACTACTGTTGTTTGCAGGCCGTTAATTGGGCTGGCGAAACAGTAAGTTTATAGGACCCTGGACTGATGTAAATTTCAAATCCTACCAAGATTTGTGTGGCCTTTCTCAGCGCGTGATAACTAGTGCCTAAACCTGGATTTTTCTTTCTTCATTTGCAAATGTTGATATGGAAAAAATACCCTTCGATGGGTAAACAATTATTAAGGAAAAAGATTAAAGGCCGAATTAGAATGATTCGTTTCTTGGCTGTTGAACATTGTTACTGTGAAAATATCACATACTATAAAGGCTATAGTAGAGATTGGTTTATTCGGGGGTAAAATACATCCTCAGAGTTGCAAATCACTGCATTACTACCGCATCTCCTGGCAACAGCAATTTGGGTCAAGGGATGAACCTCAGAACTCAAGTTTTTATTCCTTTGATCTTAACTCAGAGCAACACGGGAATACTCTAGCTGTGCTTCAGAAGGCAGTCTGAAGGATTTGAATTTCGAAAAATGATTGAGTTTGTTAAATAGAGCAAGCATTTTAACGCTTTGAAAGTCAATACTGTTAACAGTCTTGGGCGTAGATCGCCATAAGTTTTGCGGCAGTAAGGGATCTTGGGGGCCCTTGAAAAGCCTTGTGGTCATGTGCCTGCAGCAGCACAACACAGCATCTCAAGGTGTTTTAAGGATGTAACTAATGCAGGACTACTGAAGTTTGAAGCAGTTCATATTAGACATTTGATACCCCGAGGAAGATTTTTTTTTTTTTTGAAAAAGCAATCCCTGTGAAACAGTAGGTGCGAAGTGTGTGAGCTTTATTAGTAATTTCTAAGGAGACATACTGATAATGAAAACTTTCAAATTATTTTCAGAGGAGAGAATTTCAAGGTGACCTAATAAAATTGAATATAGACAGCACAGACAGCTAAGTTTTGAGAAAAAATAACCCTCATTTCAGCAGGCTTAAACAGGATTTTGAACAAAGATTTTGGGAAATTGAATAGCGGGGTGCGAATGCTGTCCTTAGAAACCAGAAACTACTTTAAATTAAAATGATTTTTCTGATGCTTTCGTTCAGTTAATTTAAAACCTAATTTTTATGGGTCAGTGAGATGGCTGGCCAGTAAAAGCAAGACTGACAACTTCATTTTGACCCCTGAAAGCCGAACGAGAGATCCAAATCCGAGAGCTGCCCTCTGATCGCTACATGCATACTCTGCCATAATAATACTATAAAAATAAATTTTAACAAAAATATGATTTATATGCTTAAAAAAGAAAGAAGAGTTTAAAAATGAAAACCAACTAACTAAGTGCTAAGGCACTTGTCAAGTTTGACTGACAGTCTGAGCCCCAGAAATGGAATTCTTTTAGACATTTGCAAGATGTTAAAACTTTTGTGGGGTGTGTGTGTGATAGGGATCCAACTCAGTTTTCTGCATACTTACTTGCTCAGGTTCTCTATCACTGATGTACATGCCCAGACTCTCTTGTAAATTATTATGCTATTATTTCCAAAAAGCATTCCTTTAAAAATACTCAGGGACTGGGGATATAGCTCAGTACTAGAGTACTTGCCTAGTATGTGGAAGCACCTGAATTTGATCTTTAGCATCACAGTAGTAATAATAGTAACAATAAAAATAATAAAGTGAAAATATTTAATATTTTTCTCAGGATGTTTTAATAAAAGAAAAAATGGTGGTGGACTATCATTGATATCCTTTGACTTGAAGCCACCAAAGAAAGAATGAAACATATTAAGATACTCCTATGAGTAATGTATCTGAAACATTTTTCAAGTTTAGATTATTCACAAATAAATATGGTCTCCTTTTAAGTTTTTAAAAAATATTTATTATTTTACTTTATGAGTGTATTACCTGCATGTATGTGAGTGCACCTGTGTCATGCAATGCTGCGGAGGTCAGAGAGGGCTTTGGATTCTCCTGGAACTGGAGTTAAGGACGGTTCACAGCCACCATGTCGGTGCTGGGAATCGAACCCAGGTCCTCTGCAAGAGCAGTCAGTGCTCTTAATCGCTGAGCCATCTCTCCAGCCCCTCCTTTTAAGGTTTTAAGTAGCTCAGTGTAATAATGCACATCTGTACTCCCCACACTTGGGAGGCAGAGGCAGGAAGATTGTATGAGTCTAGCCTGGGCTATATAGTGAGACCCTGTCTCAAAAAACTCCCAAAAAAATGGGTCTAGAGAGGTGGCTTAGCAGTTAAGAGCACTTGCTACTTTTGCGGATGACCTAATTCCATTCCCAGCACCCATACAAGAGTGTACAACCATTTGCAACTCCTGTTGCAAGAGATTCTGTGCCCTCTTCTAACTTCCAGGGACACCAGGCTTGCATATGGTACATATCCATACATATAGGCAAAGCACTCAGTACACAAAAGGCTTTGGAGGTAGAGATAGGAAGATTAGCAGTTCAATATTATTTTTGGCTACATAGTTAGTTTGAGGTCATCCTGGGTTATGTGAGACCCTGCATCAAGAATTGAATGAGGGCCAGTGTCACAAGTTTTTAATCCCAGGCAGAGACAGGTGGATCTCTCTGAGATCAAGGCCAGCCTGATCCACAAATCGAGTTCCAAGTCAGCCAGGATACCGGGAGATCCTATCTCAAAAGAAACAAAATTGAAGGAGCAGGGCACGAACTTTTAATCTTGCCGGGATTGGTAGTGCATGCCTTTAATCCCAGCACTCAAGGAGGCAGAAGCAGGCGGATCTCTTTGAGTTCAAGGCCAGCCTGGTCTGCATAGTGAGTTCCAGGACAGCTGGGGCTACAGGGAGACCCTGTCTCAAAAAGACCAAAAAAAAAAAAAAAAAAATTATGTGTCTGTGTGGGTTTGTGCATATGAGTGCAGGTGCCTGTGGAGCCCAGAAGAGGGCATCAGAGCACCTGGAGTAGGAGAGGCAGTTGTGAGCTGGGAACTGAACTGAGGTTTTTTGCAAGAGCAGCAAGCCCTCTTAATTTAGCCATCTCTTCAGCTCCTATATTGGCTTTTTAACTCTTGTTAAATATATATATATATATTTACGGGGCTAGAGAGATGGCTCAATGGTTAAGAGCATTGGCTGCTCTTTCAAAGGACCTGGATTTAGTTCCCAGCACCCACATGATAGCTAACAACTGTCCATAACTCCAGTTCCAGGGGATCTAACACCCTCTTCTGATCTCCCCAGGCATTGTACAACATGGGTACACTTACATACATGCAGACAGTATATACACTCATACACATAAAATTAAAAAATAAAATATTTTTGAAAATACATATTTAGGGGTACAGATCCCAGCACCCACATGGTGGACTTGCAGTGGTTTGTAATTCTAGTTCCAGGGAATCTTGACACTCTTGATTCTGACTTCCTCAGGCACCAAGCATGCACATGGTGACACATACACACACTCAAACACATACAATAAAAATAAGTCCTTTTGTTTGTTTTTTGGGTTTTTTGTTTTGTTTTGTTTTGTTTGCCTTTTTGAAGCAGGGTCTCCCTGCTTCCTGGAACTCACCAGGCTGGCCTCGAACTCACAAAGATCCTCCTGCCTCTGCCTCCCAGGTGCTGGGATTACAGGCATGTGCCACCACACCTGGCTTTGTTTTTGTTTTTTGAGACAGAATCTTACTGTGTAACCCTGGCTGGCCTGGAACTCACTATGTAGACCAGGTTGGACTCCCATCTGTCTGCTTCTGTTTCTCGATTGCTAGAACTAAAGGTGTGCACAACCACACTTGGCTCTTTTAAAAAAATAAATCTTAATAAAAATTGTATTGTTTGTGTGTGATGTGTGTATGTGGGCATGCTTGCTACAATGCATGTGTGGAGGTCAGAACACTTTAGTAGAGTCAGTCACTTCTATGTGGGTTTCAGGGATCCAGCTGAATTCCCCAGGCTTGCATGGCAGATGCTGTTACCTGTTGAGCCATCTTGCTGTCTGACTTTTTGACGCTTTTTTTTGTCCTTTTAAGACAGGGTCTCCCTGTAGCCACAACTGGCCTAGAACTCACTACATATTACATAGACCAGGCTGGACTTGATCTCGTAGAGATCCACTTGCCTCTGCCTCCGGAGTGCTGGGATTGAAGGCATGTGCCATCATGCCCAACTGACTTTTTAACTCTTGAACCTGCATTCGAGATCATTTTTCTACTGGCAGTTCTGTCTATCAATCTGTCTTTGAGAGAGAGAGAGGAGAGAGAGAGAGAGAGAGAGAGAGAGAGAGAGTGAGTTTGTGTGTGTGTGTGTGTAGAGTCGGGAGGGCTCATGTAGCCTAGACTGGTCTCAAACTCACTAGCTGAGGCTAACCTTGAACTGATCCTCCTACCACTACTTACCCAATTCTGGAATTATAGGCATGTACTACCATGCCCAATTTTATGTAGTGCTGGGGATTGAGCCCCAGACTTTGTATATGCAAGACAAATACTACCAGCTAAGC